TAAAAAAGTTTAACGTGAAGATTTTTGTTAATACGAATACACTCAGCAACTTGAGGTATGTGAAGTTCATTTTGAATAATTTTATGGAACACAACACAATCATCAAATTTGGAAAATGAATATCCTGTTGGTGAATCAGCAACTGTAAGAGAATTAAGATCTTCAATAACATCATTTGATAAAAATTTCTGATATTCATCTTCTTGAAAAATTCTTTTAGTTGGTGATTTTCTTGGTACAGACATAACTGGAAGTGAAGCCGTTGCTATGCTAGCCGGATATATTGTAGGAACAGGCTTCAAATTATACAACAAACGAAATCGTTTTGCTGATGCTCCTTTGTGTATTAAATTTTCATCCAAATGTTTTAAACAGATCACAGATGATTTAGTGACAGTCCAGAAATTTCTGTTTACAAATCTAACCCATAACTTTCTTAAGTCATCATCTTTTGGAAAACCAAAAACTGGGACTACTTCACCACCATTATAATTAGAGGTACAACCAACAACACAGCATTTATTAACCATTATTATTAATAATAATTAAAAAGTAGTCACAAATAACAATACAGTTTGGCATTAATCTAACGCAAAAACTTTTATCCGGTGTCAGATTTACTTACTTAACATTTATAGCGCAATATTTAAAATATTTTGAGAGAGTCTGTCCATATAATAGAATATACGTTATTTCAACTGGCCTTCTATTTTTTTTCGATTTAAGCAGATTAGAAGGAGTAGGCCATGATGTTTTGTATTTTAAAACCTCTACCTCATTAGAGAATAAATGTTACAATAACTAGTATGTTAAAATGGTGTCAGGAGCTTTAAAAAAAAGTTTAGTTTTTAACTCGAAAAAAAGTTGAGCTGTATTTTCACATCTCACTTCAAGCAAAATTATTTAAAAAGTTTGATTAGAACTATTCAGAGCAAAGTGGGTAGAAATGAAAGACTTTTGAACAATTTGGATTAGCTTATCTGAATGTTTTGTTGTTGTTGTCATTATAAACTAGCAGCTTTAAAAACAATTGTCTTAAAAAAAATAGATTTTAGCGTTGTACTGCATATAAATGCTTTATTTAAACATTTACACTTAAAAAAACTAAATAAACAAGATTGCCTATTTTTTGCTGACAAAAAAAAATCAATTTTATAAAGAAAACTATTGTACAATGCATGCAGATTTATCTAGCTTGTTAAAAAAGGGGTCTGACTGTGTCAACAGTGTGTGGTAGTACGTTTTGGTGAAGCGATGGATATAAGGCATGGTTTAGAGACCAATATGAAAACAAACAACCAAAATTGGTCACTAAAATCTTTATTTATATCATTGATTTGTTATATTCTATTTAACATTATTTATGAAATTTATTGAAAAGTGGCTTCGTACTAAAAACCTAGCTTTTAGATGTTATTTAAAATCATGGAATTCTGTACTATTCTGTACTATTGTTATATTCTATTTAACATTATTTATGAAATTTATTGAAAAGTGGCTTCGTACTAAAAACCTAGCTTTTAGATGTTATTTAAAATCATGGAATTCTGTACTTTTAACGTTTTAATTTAAGATTGTTTTTAACATGCTTTTTACTAATAAAAAAAATAAGTTTTATATTTGTCAGAACAAGAATTTTGTCTATTATTCGGCTGTATATGATAACTTGCTACGTAAATATTACATGGTAAATTATTTTATCTAGTTTCATTCGAAGATTTTCAAATTGGTTTATTATTATGACCCGATAAGCTTTATTAAGACATGATATATTTAATACTACACTGTGATATTGCTGCTCTTTTGAAAAATAAGAAACCTATAATTCTAATATGGAATTTTTATGAGAAAGTTATATGAGAAACCTATAATTCTAATATGGAATTTTTAAAAATAATGTCTAAATAGTATAAAAAAATAAGATTAATTCTATGAGTAGTTTACAAAATAAATTAAGAGCAATCAACGTTGAAAACAACGTATTTATTTGTTTTTAAATGTTATACTACCAGGGCATCCCACAATCCTCGGTAAACAAATTACAAGTTTTTACGCGAGTCGACAGCCCTTGATACTGATCCTCTAATAACCCCGAAAGACAAAATATAATAAAAAAACGTGTCTTCAATGAGAGCAATATAAAATTCTTCCAATATCAATTATCACTTCTGCATTGGAAACATTAACTTTAATGAAGACGCAAATACAATATATAATAAATTCTTTGATTCGTTCTTCTCAATATACGGTGCAAACTTTCCACTTTGTGAAAAAATAGCAAAAATAAAAACCTTAAATAGAGGATTTTCTAAGTCCTTTGGTAATCCATGGACTATTTAGTCCATGGATTACCAAAGGACTTAGAAAATTCTCTAAAATCAAACAGAAACTATATATAAAATATTTAAAAATAAATTTAAATGAAAACCAACAAAAATATAAAAATTACCAACATTTATTTGAAAAAATTCGTAAAAAATTATTATTCAAATTTAATTAATAAATTTAAAAACGACTCAAAAAATACTTGGAGAACGTTGAAAGAAATAACAGGAAAACAAAAAACAAATTTAAACTCCCTTCCTAAAGTAATTAAAATAAATAAAACAAATATATATGAATCAAACGAAATTGCAAACGAGTTTAATAAATATTTCATTGCTATAGAAACTAAATTGGTAAACAAGATCCCTATTACGGAAAAAAAATTTAGTGATTACCTAGAGCCTTTAAATAATTCGCTTTTTATAGATAATTTACATTCTGACTTATCTTATGATGAGTTTGAGAGAGCCTATAAATCTCTTAAAAGAAACAAAGCTACGGGTACGGACGAAATAAATGGCAACATAGTCATAGATTGTTTTGAAAACTAAAAATGTATTCTTTATAAAGTCTTTAGGGCATTTATACAGCAAGGTGTATTCCCCAACCAATTAAAAATAGCTAAAAGAGCTCCTATATACAAAAAAGGAAAAAAATCAAATATTAGTAATTATCGCTCTATCTCAGTTCTTTCAACTTTCTCAAAAATTTTAGAGAGAATTATATATAATAGAATATACAATTACCTTAATCTAAATAAACTTCTATATAAAAATTAACTGAATAAGCCATTACATAGTTCATTCGTAAAATCTCCAATTCATTTGGTAGATCACAATATACATTAGGTATTTTCATCAAAAGCATTCGACACGGTCGAGCACAAAATTCTACTTAAAAAACTCAAATTTTACGGAATTTATGGCAAATTAATAAAATGGTATATAAGTTACTTGAAAAATAAAAAACAATTTGTTTTCTATGGAGATTATTTTCAAAATGAAAAACTAATTGACATAAAATGTGGTGTTCCACAGGGCTCTATTCTAGGCCCACTTTTGTTTTTAGTTTGTATAAATGATTTAAATAAAGCTTCTAACCTTATGAGTATAAATTTTGCGGACGTTACTAATTTATTTCTGTCAAACAGTAGCATTTATGAGCTTTTTTCAAATATGAATAAAGAACTCAATCACATCTTCAATTGGTTTAAGTGTAAGAAAATTAACTTTAAACATTGACAAAACAAAATGGATCCTTTTCCACTCTCTTGCAAAAAAGCGATTTTTACCAAATAAATTACCTAAACTTTTTATTGATAAAATTGAAATAAAAAAGGAGTCGGTCACAAGATTTTTAGACATTTACATTGATGAAAATGTTACATGGAAGTATCACATCGGCTTTATTTCTACTAAATTGGCTAAAAGTATTGGAATTCTATATAAGGTAAAATACTATCTAAGTAAAAAAAATTAATTCAACTCTATTACTCATTTATTCATAGCTATATAAATTATGCAAATATTGTTTGCGGAAATACCTCTCAAGGTAAGTTACGAAATCTCTACCATCGTCAGAAACACGCAATGCGTTTTGAAAATCATTTTTCTCATTCAAATAATTTATATAAAAACGTTAAAGCACTTAACGTTTACGAACTCAATGTCTATAATATTTTATGTTTCGTTGTAAAAGTGAACAACCATTGTCCAATTTCAAAGATCTTTTCACTAATAAAGCTATAAACAAATATGCTTTACGAAATAATAATTTATTAATTGAACCCTTTTGTCAAACAAAGTTTAATCAATTATGCATAAACTATCGAGCACCGTATTTATGGAACAAAACTGATGTTCCAAATTTTGATTTGTCAATTTCGTTTTCCGTTTTTAAAACTAAATTAAAAAACTATATTCTTTCTACTGGCAATATATAATGAAATGTATTTTGAAATGTAAAATTCTTTTTTTCACTCTTGATAATTTGTAAAATTATTTTCAGTTTTTGTTTCTTCTACATTGTTAATAGTTATTAGATCAATTATATTTTTATTTCATTATATATACACGTATGATATATTTTATATGGTTTTGGCGACAAGATCATTTGGATCTTATTTCAGATACCAAGTTTATATATTGTTATATTACGATTAATAATTGTAAACTAAATAAATAAAATAAAAAATTATTAACATCCCCCCCCCCCCCCACTGAAAATTCCTGGATCCATCACTGGTGTGGTATTATTTATATCTCGTTTAAGTTTCTTTCTAGTTTCATTCTAACTTTTTACAATATTAAACAAATCGCAATAATTGACGTCATTTTTTACATAAATATTCATTAAAAAAAAATAAACTTCAATTTGAAGATCAGAATAAAGTTAATCAAAAATTGAGTTTAAATTGTTGTAAAAACAATCACAAAACAGCAATTTCAAAGTTCGTTGTGCCAACAATCACAAAAAAGCTATTTTAGTTTGAAAGACACCACAAAGTAGATCGAAAATGGAGCCAAAGTTGTTTTCTAACCAGTCACAAAATAGTTTTTAAGAGGGCATATAATAAATTCTTTTCAATATAAAACAATTTGAGGGACAAAGAAGGTAGAAGCTAAAATATTAAACTGTCAAAACTTATTCCAAAAAAAAAAAAAAAAAAAAAAAAGTAGACGTCTACTTATTTATCTACAAAACTCACGTATTTATATAAAAAAGTAAAAATATGTTTCCTATACATTCTTAAAAAGAACAACTTAAATAATTCTAAAAATTAGTTAACATGTAATTAAAAAGTGCGGAAAAGATAAGACACAAAATAACCAAAAACGTGGGAAATTCGAACATTGGTTTGATTGGTTCATATTACTTGATTTAGGTTTTCTAGGTATTAGATCATAAAATAATGGACAGCTAAATGTGATGAAATTGTTAACCAAAAACTGTTTCGTAACAAATTATTTTTTACGTAATCAAATCATGTAAATCCCTTTAAAAATTGCATTCTAAAAACAGAAGTGCGATATCTAAATATAAATAGTTTTTAAAATAATGAATTTTGATTTTAAAAAAATGTCAGTTGATATAAATTGTATACGGATCACACAGTGATCCTTGTATAATATTAAGGCTCTTTTGCAACACTAAGGTTCTTTGTTGTAGTTCGCTGAGTCTTGAGGAACAGATTTCATGCAAACAGCACAGCGACTGACTCGTGCTTTAAGATTTCTTTCAAGAATTTCAGATTTTGGAACTTGAAACATGTTACTTTCGCCAATAGTAGATAACCAAAAACTAAGAGTAGGGCCGTAGTACCAACATGTTCCCCGACCGTGGCATTCAATATATGGATTAACACGAAAATCTTCCAAACAAGAGCCAGATGAAGATAACAATTGACCGGATCCTTGAGCACCGGCACTGTTGTACTAAATAAAAAAATATTGTGACTAAACAAAGTTAACAAAAATTCAGTAAGATGTAAAGAAAATGACTTACCATTAGGAAACTAAATCCAGTCCATAGATTTTCCCATCCATCTGGGCATTTTGGATCTAGTTCACTTTGACTGTGAACAGCTAGAACGTGGGACGGTGCCTCGCATACAATACAACTAAATAAAAAATTAAAAAAAGGAATTATTTATGCAATCCTTTGCAATAACGTTATTTCAACAGATAAGAGTTAAAATACCGTGAAATGTAGTTCTCAAGATCAGCTCCACTCGATGGTGCTTCCTTTGGTTTTTCTGCAGTAGAAAGCCAGAAAGAATAGTCGTTTCTTGATGCAACAACGCACTTATTTTGAATATCGCAAAATAAGAAAGGCATTGTGCTAAATCGTTTAAGACAAGAGCCAGGTTGACCTAAATCTTGACCAAACGCACGTTCATTACCTTGTGCATATAAGAAACTATAACCTTCCCACATAGTTTGCATTCCTGCCGGACAAGATGGAACCTAAAAATGAATTAGTATCAAACTTAGGACGATTTAAATTATTGGTAAAAATTAATTAGAAAGAATTTAATTACAACTATATACCTTGATAGATTGACTGTGCTTGACAAGATAAAACCCAAAATCACCAGAGCCACTACGACCAGGAGGACCTACTTTACCTGCATCACCAGGCGGTCCTTGGTCTCCCTTCAAACCAATAGGACCTTGTAGACCAGGAGGACCAGTTTCACCTGGAGGTAATTAACACATAAAACATAACAATAATATAAAAGTAATAGAGTTAACATATTTAAAACAAATAACATAATTAATTATAATAATTTACATATTATATATATATATATATATATATATATATATATATATATATATATATATATATATATATATATATATATATATATATAATGCAAAAATATAAAAATGATGACTACTTACCTTTAATACCAGCTATACCGAATTCTCCTTTTATTCCTTGTGGTCCAATATCGCCAGTTTCTCCTTGCGGTCCAATATCACCCTTTTCTCCAATATCACCCTGGGGGCCTTGTGGACCAGGAGGCCCTTGATCACCTTTTTCACCTTTTGGACCTATAATATCAAAATTTAAAATTTAAAATGCTTTGAAAAAATGTATATATATATAAATGTAATGCAGAGTAAAAAGATTGGCAGGCTTAGAAATTTGACTTTATTGTTTTAACCTGTTCCTATTGCTGGCTGCCCTTTTTCTCCTTTTGGACCATCTAAACCAGTTTCTCCTTTTTGACCAGAATCTCCTTTTGGTCCCTCAGGTCCAATTGAACCATCTTTACCAAATGGACCATTTATACCTTTTGGTCCAATATTCCCCTTCTCTCCTTTAATTCCTCTATCTCCTTGTTCACCTTTAGCGCCTGGATTAATAGTTAGTTGACTAGATGGACCTGGTTCTCCTTTGTAACCACGCTGTCCAGCTTCACCTTTTTCTCCTCTATCACCTTTTTCACCAATAATTGTAGCTCCGGCATCACAAGGTGGTCCCATTTTTCCTTCAGCTCCTACTTCTCCTTTAAGTCCTTTTGCTCCTTCTCTTCCTGGCTCTCCTTCTTTTCCTTGGATTCCTTGTGGTCCTGTATCTCCTTTAAAACCTTGTAAACCTTTTTCACCTTTATCTCCAGTTGGACCAGGCTTTCCAATAACTCCTTTTATACCTTTGTCCCCTTTTGATCCAGCTAAACCAACTCTTCCTTCCAAGCCTTTTGGTCCTTCTAAACCTTGCTCTCCTTTTTCTCCTAAAATAGTAACAAAAAAGTAAAAAATATGCCTTAACAAATAGTAAATCTTAAAAACAAAAAAATTTAATCTTATTTATACCTTTAGAACCCGGAACACCTTTTTCACCTTTAGTTCCTTGTGAGCCAGTTTCACCAATATCACCTTTATCTCCCTTTGGTCCATCTTCTCCTGGCTCACCTTTGGTTGGTTTTTCCCCCAAAGGACCGACTTCAAGATCAAGTATATAGTCTTTTCCAGCTGGTCCGGGTGGACCTGTGGGGCCGCGAGGTCCTAAATTGAATAAATTTATTTTACATATCATCATTATAAGCATGATTATCATCATTATGTTAATAATCAATCTAAAATTTACCTTCAGGACCAGGATTTCCTTTCAGTGTGCTTCCTCTCTCTCCTTTTTCACCCTGCTCTCCTTTGCTTCCTTTAGGTCCAATACTTCCAACTGAACCAGGTTCACCTTTAATACCTGGAGGTCCAGATTCACCTTTAGGTCCATCATTGCCAGAAATACCTGTGTTTCCGATTGACCCAGCTGGACCAGGTTCTCCGACATCTCCTTTTGGTCCTATAGGACCTTGATCTCCTTTTCGACCTTGTTCACCTCGTTCTCCTCTTTCTCCTTTAGGTCCTTGTAATCCTATATCACCTGTATCCCCTTTAGTACCTTTATCTGTGCCAATACCTCTTTCTCCTTTTTCACCTTGAGGTCCCTCAGCCCCAGGTGGTCCTTGTTTTCCTGGTTCGCCTTTAGCACCAGACTCCCCACGATTTCCTTTTGGTCCCATTACATTACTTGTGGCTCCAGGTTTTCCACGAACACCAGTTTCTCCCTTGGCACCTTTTTGTCCACTGTATCCAGGCTCTCCTTTTTCCCCATCTAAACCAGTTGGTCCAGTAACTCCTATTTAAAAAAAAAGTGTAAAAAGTTTAACAGCAAAAACTTAAAACTAACTAACAAAAAAAATGTAAAAAATCTGAAACCTTTTTCGCCTTTAGGTCCTTCTGGGCCTGGATTTCCAGGCAAACCATCTTTACCAGGAGTGCCATCAACACCATCTTTTCCAGGTGGTCCAGGTTTTCCTTGTTTTCCAGAAATTCCATCTTTGCCTTTTTCTCCTGGTGAACCTTTTTCTCCAGGATCACCTGGCAAACCAACTACTGAGTTTCCTTTTTCACCCTTTTCACCGTTAGCTCCTTGTTTACCTATTCCATCTCTGCCTTTCAAGCCATCTTGACCAGTTTCTCCTTTTTTACCTATAGCACCGGTTTCACCCTTTGGACCTATCACTGATTGCCCTTGATCTCCTTTATCACCCTGAGGGCCTTGAGGTCCAATTTCACCTTTTTCCCCTATAAAGACACATAATAATCATAATTTTTTTCACTAAGAACTATACTAAAGAATTTTAATAACAAAAATGAAAAATTTATTTTACCATCACGACCGCTTTCACCAGGAGTGCCTGGTTCACCTTTAGCTCCTGGATCTCCATCTTTTCCATCTCTACCAGGTTCACCTTTTGGTACAGATTTTCCAGGAGCGCCATCAAGCCCAGGTTTACCTGGATCACCTTTTAAACCAGGTTCACCTTTAATTGGACCAGAAATACCAATTGGTCCTTGCAGGCCTTTTTCACCTTTGTCACCTTTCGGTCCATCTTGACCATCCTTACCTGAAATTAATAAAAAAAATTTCTTAGTTTACTTTTATTGATTCTAAATTTGTATTTATATTATTACTAATAATTTTTAAAAAATATATTATTAAACTTGTTTAAAAACTTCTAATTGAATGATATATATATATATATATATATATATATATATATATATATATATATATATATATATATATACATATATATATATGAACAATTACCATTTTCTCCATTTTTCCCTGCTATTCCTGGTGTGCCAGCATCACCCTTCTCTCCTTTTTCTCCACTTCCTGGTGCACCTCTGAGTCCTGGCTCACCTTTAAATCCCTGGTTTCCTACTTGCCCTTCAGCTCCTTGAGGTCCAGGTGGACCTTCTGAACCAACATCTCCTTTATCACCTTGTTGTCCTTTTAAAGCTGTAGAAAATGGTTCTCCTTTAGGTCCTGGTTTACCCATTGGTCCTTGAGATCCTTTTGGTCCTGGTTCTCCATCACGACCACGCTCACCTTTAAATCCACGTAAGCCATCCCCTTTATTTCCCTTTTCACCTTTCTCTCCGTTATTGCCTGGTATACCTGATTTACCAGGAGCACCACGATCACCTTGAGGACCCTGAAAAATAATTTTATGTTAAAAAAACAAGCAATTATAACAGTTTAGAAATACATATTTTGAATAAATGCAGTATACTATTTAATTGTATTTAGAGTTTAAAACAATACATTATTTTTAGAGTATGAAATTTTTGAGCCAGGCTCAGGTACACTTGATTATTCAAATGTTTGAGCTTGACATATTTTCAATAATATGCTTATTCCAATACTATATTCAAAAAAAACTTAATTAAAAAAAAGTGTTGTCAAATAATCAAACATATTATTGTATTGAATAATTATTGTATTGTTTAAACTGTACAGTCAGAAAATACAGATTGTGTGAGTGAGAGAACACTTTAAAGCATTTCTTTGTGTGACACTTTAAAGCATTTCTTATCAAAAAAGTTTATATTATTTATATATTATAGTATTTCTATTACCATTTTATAAAATTAGGTTTTTGTTTTAAATATAGATGTTTATGCTTTGTCACTGCTATGGAAAACTGAACTCTATAAGAATTTTTATGTTGTTGATTTAAATGGTTTAAATTAAAGGCTAATATTTTAAATTTTAGATTTAAAAAAATTTTAATGATCTAAATGGTTTATCAAGCAACAACAATATTATATATGCTTTATTTTTAATGCTTACAAGCATTATACTTATACCAAAAAAAAAAAAACGTTTAACAACATTTTCAAAAACATTAGAGTTTTAATTTGTTTTTTTTTAAAAACTTTAAATATTTCAAATTAAAAAAAAAAACATTTGGTTTAAATTAAATTTGAATCAATTTAGACAATAAAATTAAGATTTACGAGCAATAAATTTCCCCTAACATATCAAAACCAAGTTAAAGTATATAAATACATTAAGACATGTATCGGTATAAATGTCATTAAGATGAGTATCAGTATGAAGCAAGTTGATAAATAATAATGAGTAATAAACCTACTTACAATAAACAAAGTAATAAACCAGTAATAAATATTGAGTAATAAACCTATTTAAGCAGCCTTAAGTATAGGTTTATTACTATGAAGGCTGCTTTATATATATATATATATATATATATATATATATATATATATATATATATATATATATATATATATATATATATATATATATATATATATATATATATATATATATATATATATATAGTGACAAAGCACATCTATATTTAGAATAAAACCTAATTTAAAAAAAATATTAATAGAAATACTATAATATATAAATAATATAAACTTCTTAGATAAGAAATGCTTTAAAGTGTCACATTGGTCTCTCTCTCACTTACGCACTCTGTATTCTCTGTAAAGTTTAATTAATTCAACATTATTCAATACAATAAAATGCGTATTTCATTGTTTGACAACACTTTTTTAGTTAAGGTTTTTTTAAATATAGTATTGAAATAAGCATATGTTATTGAAAATATGCTCAAGCTCAAACATTTGACCAATCAAATGTATTTGAACCTGGTTCAAAAATTTCATACTCTTATAAAAATAATGTATCGTTTTGGACTCTAAATACTATTAAATAGTATACTATATATATATCAACCTCGGAATTAGGGTTGGCATTTGGCAATGTTGACCTAACTGCCAACCTGAAAGTGTTTGAGGTCGACAAAAAATTGCCGACCTCGTTCCTATGTTTTGTGGTTAGACCTTTGTATCTAATAAATTTTGACGACCTGATGCCGACCTCAAAAAGTATGAGTTTGGCAAATTATTATAAACTCAGTTTTCCTAATTCAGAGGGTTGATATATTAACTGTGTTTGCTTAATACAAGACACACCATTCTCCAAAATTTTAAATTCTTGATTTAAATATTATAAAAAAATTATTTCTAGAAAAACATGGAACATGTTTGGTTAATGATAAAGCAATGATAGGATAATGATAAAGCAATGATAGGAAACATGTAGCTTTAGCATAAAATAAACTGATTACCTAAAGTCTTTCGATAATTAATAATAACTATATATCTTCATTATGAAAGCAGACATGTAGCTAGAGCTTATAATTATAGATAAAGATAATTTTTATACTTTATTAAGAAAAAGCTGTCACATCAATGAAACTTTGACAAAATTTAATTATACTTTTTCTAATGAAAACTTTTGCATTTTTAAAACTTTCTGTATATTTTTTATTTTAAACCGGCTTGGGTTTTTTTTTACCCATCTTTGGGTGGGTAGAACAGCAGATGCAACTCTATTTATTAACTAAAAATATTAAATATACCATAAAGAATAGGATATACTAATTTATTGCCAAAAACTTTCATCATAAAGTAAATGCTATATGAAAATAAATAAACAGAAATTTTTATTTAAATATCTTTTTACATTTTTACACATTTTTGCGGCTTAATTTTGGTTGAACATTTTTTTAATTTAGATGGTTTGACATTAGATGGTTGAACTGATTGGTTGGCTTGATTTTGATTGAACCTGGATTTAATACTTTTATTATTTACTTTTAACTAAAATGTTTTCAAAATCAATGAACGAGTTATTAAAAAAATCCATAATCATCATCAGTTTTATTGTCGCTAACCAATACTGCCACACATACACACATATATAATCAAAACTTATGAATTTTTTAAAAAATGCTAAGCTTACTTGAAGTCCTTGAGGTCCTTGTGGTCCATCAGTACCTGGATCACCAGGAACCCCCTGTTCACCTTTAAATCCTATGGAACCAGGAGATCCTGGCATACCATCAGTACCTTTTTCACCACGTTCTCCTTGAACAATCCTATCAGATCCACGCTCCCCTTTATTTCCTTTAGCACCTGTGTCACCTTTTTCACCAATAGGTCCCTATAAACATGCAGATATATATATATATATATATATATATATATATATATATATATATATATATATATATATATATATATATATATATATATACATACACATGCACACACATATTTGCAAGGCAAAAAAAAAAAAAAAAAGCTTGAAATATATAAAAGGATATTTGCACTTTCTTTCGTGTAAAAATTATAGGTTTTATTAAAAAGAGTTTTGAGTAAAAAACTTTAACAATGAATCTTACTTGTGGTCCGGTTAGTCCACTTTCACCTGGATCACCAACACTTCCTTCAAGACCAGGTTTACCTTCATCTCCTTTATCACCTTTTTCTCCATTAGCACCCGGAAGACCATCTTGTCCTGCTACACCCTTTTCTCCTTGCGGGCCACTTGGGCATGATTTGCAAGCATCTCCTTTATCTCCTCTAATACCTGGACTTCCTTGTGGTCCTGCAACACCTTGAATACCTTGAGGACCTTGATCACCTGGAGGGCCTGGTAATACTGTTTCACCTAGATCATTTATAACTTGACCAGGATTTCCAGGTGGACCTGGAAAACCAGGAATTCCAGGTTCTCCAGGAGGTCCGATTTGCCCAGGATTACCATCCATACCAGGACTACCTTGTACACTTTGACCTGGTCTTCCAGACTCTCCTTTTGATCCTGTTTCTCCTCGCTGACCAGCAGGTCCAATTGGTCCTTTCATTCCTTCTGCTCCAGTTTTTCCAGGTTCACCACTTGGACCAGTCATACCTATCTCACCTTTTAAACCTTTAAGACCTGGAGGTCCAGTATCTCCTACTTCACCATTAGGTCCAGGAGGCCCTTCTGGACCAGGTTCTCCTTTTTTTCCTTCTGGTCCACGCTGTCCCTTTTCACCTATTTGCCCAGGTGGTCCAGTTATGCTTTCTCCTTGTTTACCTCGATCACCAACAGGACCTTCAGAACCTTTGGTTCCATGATCACCTTTCTGGCCTGGTGAACCTAGAGAGCCATCAGACCCTGGTTCCCCTTTTGTACCAGCTGCACCAGTTGCACCAATATCACCTTTTTCACCTTGAATTCCCTTGAATATATGAAAACATAATTTAAATACAAGAAATTTTTTTTATTACTTTATTACTTTATAGTTTTTAAAACTTACAGAAGGTCCAGCACTACCAATCTCTCCTTTATCACCTTTTTCTCCTTTTTGACCATCCTGACCCGCTTCTCCAGCTTGACCAGGTTGTCCTGGTTCTCCTTTTTGTCCTTGATCTCCTTTTTTACCTTGCTCACCTTTTGGGCCTTGAATATTTGTTATAAGTTCTCCAGTAACTGAACTTCCATTACAGTCTCTGCCTGGTGGTCCTGGTAAGCCAATGTCCCCTTTATCACCACGTTCTCCAACTATGGTAATATTAGAATCACCTCTAGCCCCTTTCTCACCACGCAAACCTTGTGGACCCTATCAAAAATAATATAGTTAAATATGCAAACTAAACTAGCCAATAAAATAAACTGAATTATTAAGATTAAAAACATACCATTCTTCCTGCTTTTCCAGGTTCTCCTTTATCGCCTTTTGTTCCTGGGTCACCAGCTGGTCCCTATAAAGTAATATTTATTTAAAAATAGGTATTATTTAAACTGCAAATACACTTAGTGCAAAACAATAAAAATTTACTAAAAGTGTAATAATATTAATAACAACAATAATAATATTATTAATAACAAAAATAATAACTACAATAACAATAGTAATTATACTTATATCAAAATAAAAACAACAACTAATCTATTTGAAAACTAACGTCTTGACTTTTTGGTCCTGGTTCTCCTTTTTGACCTTTTAACTTTGTTGCAGTAGAATCGCCTGGTTCTCCTGGAGGACCAATTGGTCCGGGTAATCCCTTTTTGATGCAAACAATATTTAAGTCAAAAGTTATTACTTGAAAATACTTGAGGAAATAGTCTACTTTAAAATTAAGAAATAATACTAATTTATTTTATTAAGAGCAATCAACTTACAGATGGTCCTTGAACTCCATCTTTACCACGAGGACCAGGAGGACCAATATCTCCCTTTTAAAAGAGTTTAAAAATATTGTAAGTTAAAAAGAAAAACTACAAAGAGTTTTTTATATAAAAAAAACTTTTGAATTTTTAAAAAAGATACAAATATTAATCAAATAACCTTGGTTCCGTTGCACCCTGGTAGACCTGGCTCCCCTTGTCTTCCTTCGTCTCCAGGTCGACCCTAAGAAAAAAAATAATAAAAATCTTATATCAATTAATTTCAATTCAAACTCAAAAAAAAAAAAAAAACTCAAAAAATATAAAAAAAGAAATATTCAAAACTTACATGAGAACCTGGGATTCCAGGTGTTCCAGGTGGTCCTACTTTACCCTAAAAAATTTGATTAGCACAAATTAGAGTTTTACTAATTGGGAAGACAACAATTACATTTTACTGACTAACTGCACAGAATAATTTAAAATTAGTTTTTGTTCAACAACTTGTTGTAATATCTTTTTAAAAAAATACTTACTCTAGCACCAACTTCTCCTTGTAAACCAGGGGCACCACCATCTCCTTTCTCTCCAGGCCTTCCAGCAGGACCTTCTCCTCCAGGAAATCCAGGCTCACCAATAGGTCCTTTAAATCCAGGCAGACCAACAGAACCCTAATATTTTTTAGAAAAAATATATATAAAAAAATACTAACACAAAGTTCAGGTTTATTATTAACTTAGCCTTCAGTACATATAAACATAAAAAATGTTTTGGTATTGGTACATATAAACATAAAAAGACAGTATAACAACAAATTATAGATACCCTGTCTCCTTTTTGACCAACACAAACATTACTGCATTGATTACAACCACCACCACCACACTATATAAATAAAGGTAAACAAAAATATTTATTTTGGTAAAACAATATTTTATAATTTTCAGGATTATACTTGTTCAACTGAGTATTCCTACCTAGATATTAAATCTATTATGAAAATAAAAACCTGATCTCATTTTTAATTGTGCGATGTTCTAAGGAACAGCTAAATAACAATTTTAAACAATATCTTTTTATTTGGTCAGCATTCTATAATTTAACCTTGCATTTTTTCAAATAAAAAAGCCTTAAAAAAATATTGATAAACATTTTTTTTATTTTAGTTAAGCTAATAATAATAAAAACAATAATTATAATAAAAATAATAACAATAACGACAATAATAATATAAATATAATAACTTTTTTTCTATAATTATCATATTTATTATCATAATTAAAAGGAAATAGTTTTATTATTGTTTTATTATCATTATTATTATTGATTTATTATCATTATTTTGTTTTATTTACATATTGTGCAATATGTAAATAATATACAACGATATGTAAATACATATTATTTTATCTTGTTATATTGCCTTATTTAAATCTTATTATGTAAATAATACATATTGTACATATCTTTTATTTAATTTTAAAGTAATTTTTATTTAGTCGTTTAATTTTGAGTACTTAAATAATTGAAGTATTTAGTAATATGGGTGTTTATTTTTGTTTTATATGCTTATTTTAGGTGTCACTCCATTGACTAGTTTTTAGCTATATGAGTGACACTTAACCAGATTTTTAATTAAATTACAATTAAATTTGTAATTTTTAATTTTATGGCTTAAAAATAAAAAAATAATATTATTAATAATAATATTTATTATGATTTTTATTTTTGTTATAACTATAAAAGTAAAAAATGCTTTTAAATTTTAATTATATTTTGAATGTAAACAAATTTAAGATTTATAGTAAACCTTGGCTATGAAAAATAATCTCATTCAAACCTAGATAAAGATGTTAAGAGGCTTGTTAGATTAGATCTTAGAGGCTATGAAAAATAATCTCATTCAAACCTAGATAAAGATGTTAAGAGGCTGACTTTGAGACTGATTTGTTTTTAATACCATTCTCTCTATAACAATAAAAAGTAGACAGTTTCTTCTTTTTAATATTCAAAATTACTAAATTAAATGTATTAAAGACAATGTGACAGTGTCTTTTTTTACGTACGTACGTTTTAAAATAGATTGAATGATTTAATGTCTTCTTTTTTTAAAAACCTTTAATAAAAGAAGGCATTGTCTACTATTTAATACAACCATATTTAAATAAAAACTAATGCAATATGTTTTTTTTTTAAATGAAATTAAATATTTTTTTAATTGTTATATATTTATTAATTATTACTTATTATTAAATATTATATAAATTTTTAAAGAAAATTATATTTTAGATAAAGTAGCATTTTAGCGGCTTGCACAAAATAAATCTTTTAGCTTCTTGCGTGTTCATCCGCAATGATCATAAATAACAAAGAACGTAGTATTTTGAAATTTCGTTTGACTTTTTTTGTTTTAGCTGTTTATTGTCATTATTTAATCAGGGTGTAGCAACCAGGAGGGTCAGTAGGGGTATTTGCCCTCCCCCTCCCCCTCTTTTTAAATAAATTTTCAAATATATAATTTTAATAAAAATTGACTGATAAAGGGACTTCAAAACAAAACAAGATCATTAAAACTATTTTGAGGCTCCTTAATCCAGCACTGCTCCCCCCCCCCTCCTCTAATCTAACTTTTTTTATTTACCTATGGTTCTGTTAATTTATCGTTAGTATAGTCATAATTTTATATAATGTATTTAGTATTTTTTTTATAATTATTTACTTTTAAAACTAACACATTATCTAGTTATTTATTTTATTTAAATATTTGTCTAATATTAATCATAGAATTCAGGGTATTAAAACTATTGTTAAGTAAATGATAGATAGAAGGGAAGAGGAGATGCTTAAAAGCATGACAAAAATCGACAATTTAAGGAACTAAAACAAATCAGTTTTTAAAACTTTTTTTTTAAGGTTTGATTTTTTGCTTCAAAAAATAGATAAAAAATAAAAAAGTAATACCATTAAAAAAATCGATGGAATAAACGCAACTTTTATTTTAATTTAGTGACATCTTTTTTTAAGAATGAAAAAGGGGAGAGGGGGAAGATCGGCCAAAAACAGACAGGGACAAACGGTGAAAATATTGAAAAAACTGGTTTTTTAAAAAGCTTTAAAAAAGCGTTGAACTCCTTTGACCAAGCTGATGATACCAATAAATGAATTGATGATACCGTACTTCTTTTAAAATAAACTTTTTACTAAATTGACGGTCTCAGCTTAGTTTTCAAGAAGCAAAAAGTTAAAAAAACAAATCAGCACCGCGTCAGACTGGACAAGCGTGACGTGTGACATTTCCTTTTAAATCGTTCAAATTAGAGGCAAAGTTAGGTATACCTAAATATCATTTATTGTGTGTGTGTGTGTGTGTGTGTGTGTGTGTGTGTGTGTGTGTGTGTGTGTGTGTGTGTGTGTGTGTGAAAAGAAAAACAAGGTAGTTCATGACTTCTTCTTTCTTACCAATCTTGCAAATGTGATCACAGCTGGCATCGAACCTCGGAAATAGTAATTCTATTTGATAATTGTTTTTTTATTATCACATAAAAAAATAAAAAGTGCAATGCTTTGGTTTGCTTTATGTAATGTTTTAATTTAATAATTAAGCACAAGATAAATCCATGCGCCTAATTATTAAGTTAAAATTTTTTATGTAATCATTTTTAACAAAAGTTATTTGCTGATGTTTACGTTTAAAATTTAAAATTGGTGCATAAAAGAAAAGGAAAAACTGCATAAAGTGATAAAAGAAGCTGCTAAAAATACTAATTAATTGTGTTTATTGTTGTTTTAACTTCTTAGTCAAATATTATTAGTTTTAATAAAGTTTGATCTCAAGCATGATGTTAACTTAAACATCATGTTTGAGTTAACTTCCATATACGAAGTTAACTATCTAAAAGATTCAAGCTAACACTTGCAAAATTGCTTCATCCGCCCCTGACTTGACATTTTGTATCTTATGTAGTTAATATGTGAATGAATGGCGTTACTGACCATTATATACATACATATATATATATATATATATATATATATATATATATATATATATATATATATATATATATATATATATATATATATATATATATATATATATATATGTATATATAAATATATATATATATATATATATATATATATATATATATATATATATATATATATATATATATATATATATATATATATATATATATATATATGTATGTATATAATGGGCAAATATATATATATATATATATATATATATATATATATATATATATATATATATATATATATATATATATATATATATATATATATATATATATATATATATATATATATATATAGACTTGGCAAATGCAATACATTTATGTAAAAGAAATTTTAATGTTTGTTCCTAAATAATATTACTTGCTTTGAAGTGATTTTTAAACAATCATAAAGCCGTTTTATTGCGACATAGTATTAAGGGAGATTAATCCATTATTTAAAATAAATATTCATATAATCAGCTTTGAAGTCGTTTTACTAATCTTTCAATTTTTACATTTCATCAAACAATAAACAGATATTCGGTTTCTAAAATAGAGTATTCTTTTTATTATCCTATATGTACTATTAGTGATAAAAAATAAAAAATGAAAATGTTTATAGTATGTGCTAAAACAAGTATTTTTTTTTTTAAATTATCAAGCTAAATACTTTAGTATAATAATATTTTATTAGGAAGGTAAAAATTATATATATATATATATATTTTTTCCTAAGTTCTAATAGTTCAAACAGGCAATGGTATTTGAATGGGTATAATTGACAGAAAATATACCTAAATAATCGCAATAACTATAGTCAGAACTACAGAAAAGCGTTTAAGTCATTTAAAACATTATTTTTTTCAAAATTAAACTTATGCTATGGGGCGTTCTGCTTAAAAAAGTTCTAAATAAAAGATATATCTAAATAATATAAAGAACTAGATAAATTAAATGAAAAATTTTAAGAAAAGAGAAAAATTTTGTTTCTTTATTTAAAAATATAAAAACATTAAAAAGTTAAAGTTACAATTTAAAATAAATTTCATACCAACTGAGTAAAAACTAAACACGAATGTAACGTGAAAATCAACACAATCCAAATAGTCCATTTGGTCGTGTGACTAAAAAAAATCGATAAATCGATTTAAAATAGCAATTTATAAAACTTACAAAAAACTTGTTTTAACAAAAAAAGTGTAACTTACTTCATTTTTTATATTGCGATATTTTCTCCTTTATCCTCGATTAAACGGCCATATATCGAAAGCAAGTCTAACGAATTGGGGAAAAAAACTACGTTTAGTAGAATATCAAGGTGTGCACTGTCTATTATACGCTATTGGTTGAAGAATAGTAGATAGTGAGTTCAATGTCGCTATTAAACTATATCCAGGGTTTTCTTATTATTTTGTCACTCTTTCCGGCTGTCAATCAATATTAGTAAAGAGTAAAGAATGCGCATACTGAGAAAATTACGACGCTAAATTCGCTCACCAACGATATGTTGTTTACTTTTAAAACTGACTTAATAACAGTTTGTAACGGTTGAGAAACGTTTTTTTTTTCAAAAAAATGCTTTTATTAGTCAATATTATTATATCTTGTTTTAACAGTTTAGAAAAGTTTTATTTTCATAACAAAATTCAGTTAGTAAAATTCCTAACGTTTGTTTAAACCACGATGCAATGACGCAACAGCGCATGTTTCAGCATTAAACTTCAAGTTTTAAAAGAAAAAAAAATTGAAGCAGAAAAGACTATTTCACAACAAAATAAATTACTCATTTAAAAAGTAAAACAGGTTTAGGTCGAAGATGACTTAATATTGTCTATAAAACAATTTGACAATTTTTAGGAGTTATTATAAGATAAAGTGACTAGCTACACAGTATATATATATATATATATATATATATATATATATATATATATATATATATATATATATATATATATATATATATATATATATATATATATATATATATATATATATATATATATATATATATATATATATATATATATATATATATATATATATATATATATATATATATATACATATATATATATATATATATATATATATATATATATATATATATATATATATATATATATATATATATACGCCTATAAGCATTATGAAATAAAGTTTAAAGAAATTTTTATTAATTTCGAAATTTACTTTTGTTACGTTCTGTTGGTTATATGTATTTAGCAGTGTTTATTTAGTCACAAATATTTTGAAAATTTTTAAAATCTACGCCAATTTTATGTTTACACGGCATAGTTTTAATAACCACATGATTCAAAATATAAAAAAACAAAAAAACAAATGTACTAAGTAAAAGCATTCGAAACATTTTGTCGGTTTAAATGTTATTGTTAATGTCTGAAAAATTTAGGTCTTTTAAAATAATGTCTAAAATGACTTTGTTGTCGGTAAAATAAGTACTTTGGAGTAGTTATTTTACAGGCCAAGTTTTCGAATTCCTTTATCTTACAGCATACAGCTCATACAGGACACGGATAGCCTGAATGACTCAGAAAATGCGTCAGTTTAAATATTTGTACAAACAAATCGTTCAATGACTGCACAATTTAAATGATATATGAGCAACAACTTATAAAAACGGAAACCGACAGATAAAAATATGTAAATTGTTTGCTCTTAAACGTGCATCACTGAGTTTTGTTTTTCTTAGTCAGTAATAAACAATAAAGGCTTGTTTATCTTTGTGATTTTTCTTGGGTAATTGTTTCTAGGTTTAATTAAATCAAATATTTCTAATGTAAGGAACTATTTTAAAAAAATCTAAAGAGATGTGTTAAAACTAACAGCGAGAATATTGGAAACATATTAAAATACAGAAAAAATAAAATCTATTCAGGTTTCAAAAGATGCAAGGGACTTGCATGCTGCTTTTTTTAGTTGTTTTTACAATAAATTGCGTAGGGCGGACTGAAGCACAGACAGAAGGTACTTTATTATTATTTTTGTTTAAGTAGCCATGTATTCTGACAATATTTATTTCTAATTGACTTCATTTGACTTCATAGTGATGTTAAAAAACATTTTCATTTTAAAACGTATCTTTTTTTTTTTAAATTTATTATTTCATTATAATTTTTTAGTACAACATTGTATAATTTAGGGCAAAAAATATATTTTTTCATATTAAACTTGATGCAATTTAGAACAAAATAACTTTAAATTTTAAATATTACCGAAATTAAAAAACTATAAATGTATATATATATATATATATATATATATATATATATATATATATATATATATATATATATTATATATATATATATATATATATATATGTATATATACAATATATATATATATGTAAATATAAATATTTATATATAAACACCTAAATATCTAAATATATAAATATATATATATATATACAATATATATATATATGTTTATATAAATATGTATATATAAATGTATATATATATATATATATATATATATATATATATATATATATATATATATATATATATATATACATATACATATATATATATATATATATATATATATATATATATATATATATATATATATATATATATATAAATACATATATATATATATATATATATATATATATATATATATATATATATATATATATATATATATATATATTTAAATATATATATATTTAAATATATATATATATATATATATATATATATATATATATATATATATATATATATATATATATATATATATATATATATATATATATGTATATATTACATAACTATTATTATTTGAGTGATAATTATTTATTTTAATTAATAAACAAATGTCATGTAAGTTAAATTAAGTAAATAAATTAGTTATAGTTAAGTAAAAAATTAACAATTATATTTTTAATCAATAGATTTTTAGTGTTTAGAATTTAAATGTTAAAATTTGAGTTGTTATGTGATGGGATTAACGAAATTGATGACTTGAAAAAAAAAATAGTTCTACATCGGTAACTACAAAGGTCCAAAAAGGCTAATTCAATTTAAGCTTGGGGTTGATAATCTCTAACGCTCTCTTTAACTGAGTTTTCGTAATAATGGAATTTACTTTGTTGACTTTTGTGTTAATGTTATTAACCACGTATAAAATTTTTAGCTAGAATCATAATTTCCGAAATGAATGAAAAACTAATTCACAATCTTAGCCAAACAAATATAGACAAATTAAGTGTTTACTTCCCTAAGAGCATGGACATATTGAAATGCAGTCTATATTGAAAAGTTTAGGACAGGCTTTATATTTTTTACAACGTAGTATATTAGCCATTGTTAAACTTATTAACTTAAACTTATTGTATTTATATAATTTTTAATTAAAAAAAAAAAACACAAAAAAATGGGAAAATTAACAAAGTTAAAAAAAAAAATTATATTATACAAATATAAAATGCTTTAAAAAATATAGATACAAAAATATAAAGTATATATAAAAAGCATATATAAAAAAAAATATAAAGAAAAGTAAAATGTATAATATATAAAAGACAAAATAATAAATAAAAAATATAAAATAAAAACAACAAATATAAATAAAAAATTACAAAAAAAAACATCTATACAAAAAATTTAAAAAATATGTTAATTTTATCTTAACATTTTGTGGTTAATTAATACTGACATTAAAACAATAGTGGTAATAAAAATTATTATTGTTATACGTATATTGTATATTGTAAAAATATCTATATGCCATTAGTTTTATGATGCATTTTTTTGTATTAGGTAAACTTTTTCAGTTAATTAGTCAAACATTTATATGACCTTGCAAAAAGAAAACAAATTATTTTTTTTTAGTGGCGACATCAAACGGGTGGGGTTACACCAGGCGCCGAAAAAATCTTTTTTTGAGAAACAGAATCTTTTTGTTAAGAAACCTTTGCAAAAAAAAATTGACTTTAGGGCGCCAAAATAGTTTTCACAACCGACACTAAACAGACATCCATTATCTTTATATATGATTTTAATTATCTTACTTCTCGGTGTAGTTAGGGCAATTTTAATATATTATAGTGTCTGTATGATATTTTTTTGACTACAACATATTTCCGTTAAATGATCTGTGAATTATGAAAAGACAAAAATAATTGAAATGGTAAGTTTTGCGGTATCAAAAAATATAAATTTTTGTAGCAAAAAAACCAAGACCAAAGATTCTTTTGTTTAAAAAAATCTACTTAAAATCAAAATCGCTTGTCTAAATTTCAATAAAATTTGAAATGAATATGTTTTCAGGTGAAAAGAACATCATAGTTCAATAATATGATCTGTTCTGATCGCATATTGGCAGTTTTTCATAATTATAAGCATTTTTTTGGTCGGAATTCTAATATTTTTTGTGAAAACTGTTAGAAATACTGTATATAAATGTAAATATTATATTTTGACAACTATACTTAGTTGATATAGTTAAAACCGATTAGATCTGGATCTAAGGTACTATATAGTTAGAACCGATTAGATCTAGGATCTATAGTGGGTTAAGGCATTTTTTAGCTAAGATCATGTTAACGCCAAAGAGCGAAAAGGACTACAAAATAGTGTTCTTTAGATTCACAAATAGAGGTAGTTAAAAAATTTTAAAATTATATAGAAATAGAAAAATTTCTTTAAATATTAAAAAAACCTTAAGCAAAAAAAAAAAAATTGTAAAATCTAAAGCTCTTGCTTGGACATAATACGCTGATAAAATCATGCTAATTTCAAATAAAAGCATTCGAATAATTTAACTACACCGATTTGTGATAAATACAATATATAAAATATTAGATTTATAATATATAATATAAAATATAGAGATATGTAATATATAATTTAATAGTTATATAATATGTAATCTAAATACTAGTTATAATTATAATAATAGTTATATAATCTATATTAAAAAAGATATACAATACAATAGATTTATAATATATACTATAACATATACTAGTTAAGCTACCGTGGTGTAGCGATTAATGTTCTAGTTTTGGAACTGGAAGTTCGTGGTTTCGTGGTTCGTGGAACTGGAAGTTCGAGGCCGGCTCTGACCATATATGCATCAATGGTAAAGAAGAAAGCGTGAACTTCTTAATTAAACGGTATTCCGCGAAGTTATACGAGAAGACCTTGGAGATCTTGGAGCCTCTAAATAACTAATGAAAAAATAAAATTAAAAATTGTAAATTTATGCAATTTAAAATCAAAAAAACTAGTTTTACCCTTTTTAGGAAGATTTGAAAAGAGATTATTTGATTGTTTTTTTTTTATTAAAAAAAAAACAATCAAATAATCTCTTTTCAAATCTTCGTAAACTGCTTATTAATAAAAATGAATTCAAACGTGAAATGTTTGATTTCACGTTTAGTTTCAAAAAAAACTCCCAAAAATTTTGTACAAAAATGTACAAAATATTTGGGAGTGCCTTTTTATAAAAATTTGTCATGGAGAAACCATATTGGTCTTTTTGAAACAAAAATGTCCTCTGTAATAGGTGTTTTGTATAAGTCGAGACTTTTTCTCGATAGTAAATTACGTAATATGCTTTACTTTAGTCTTGTAGATAGTCAACTTTTGTACGCAAATATTTTATGGACCAGCACCTACATGTACATGGTCAGCTTTTGTACGCAAATATTGTTTGGGCACCCATAAAACATAACAAAAAAACATAGCACCCATAAAACAAAACTGCTAAATTTGCAAAGCCTGCAAAACCATGCATGCAAAGTAATAAACTATTTAAATAGGTTAGTAAACCCGACCCCAGTGATGAAAAGCATGATGGTTCTAGATATCACATTACAGATCATTTTCTGAAAAACATAATTTGCGTTCAAATACTAGGTACAACTATCACTTAGGGAAAATTAAATCACATCAGTCAAACTTTTTAATTACAAACCGTGGCCCATCAATATGGAATCATTTCCAAAATAAAAATATTTATAAAAGACCAAAAAAGCATTTCATTGTTTAAACGGGAAAGTAAAAGACATCTTCTTAATTCCTGACATACATTTTAAAGTTTACAGTACTTGTTTACAGTATTTTTTTATTTAATTATTTATTTTTTCTCCTTCCTCTTATTTTTTCATGTTTTTAATATTTTTTGTTTTTTAATTTGTTACACTAAAAAAATATAAGCTATGTTTTAATTGAATTTTTATTTTATTTTTAAAAATTAAAGTGTTTTTATAATAAGTGACTATAGGAGCTCTATAAAAAGGTCGTGATGTTAAACGCATCATCCCTTCTTTGAGTCCCTGAGCCCCTGTTAACAGTCCCTGTGATGTTAAACGCATCATCCTTACCTTCTTTGAGTCCCTGACTGATTAGAACAGTAAATACATATTATAAAATAAAAAAGTATATAAAATTATAAAAAACGTTATTTATCTTGTTTATGTTTACGCCGCTATGTATTTTTTACATGATTATATGAAAATTGTAATTGTAACTGTTTAATCAGCAAAATAAAAGTTTGTATAATAATATTAATAATTAATTAATAATAATAATAAATAATAATAATAATATAACAGCAAAGTTATATAAATGGTATCATCAATTTAATTTACTTGTGCAGGGACGGCGTAACAAGTTTTGAAATCAAGGGGCACGATTGTCACTTTTTTAAAAAAGTCCTCTTCATCTAGAATTTTCTTTATAAAAAAAAAAAAAAAGGTTTTTGAAAAAAAAGTTAAATTTTTTTTCATAAACCATAAAAACGCAGTTTTGCAACAAACACACACAATTTTTTTTAACAAGCATATATTTCAAGGTATTTAAAAATTATAAATTGTAATGTTAATTATATATTTTATTTCTCCTAAATAGGGGAAAGGCGCCAATGATGGCATAGCACCTATGATGGCATACCGGTCATATTTTCATAAATATACCAATATTTATGACAAAAAAGTGATTAGACCAACATATCTAACTGACTTTATATTAGTTTTTGTAAAAAAACGTCCCATATGCACAAATATTGTCATTATAATCAATAAAAATTGATTTTGGGATGTGCTGTTATATTTTTAATCCCTTTAAATTTTTAAGGTTGTGATATTAATTTTAACTTTGCAGAATTAAAATTTTCATGCATTTTATTTCCAAGTTTTTTTTTTAAAACCTTTTTTTTTCATTTTCATTTAAACAAGGCAGACACAGCTTGTAAACAAACATTATGCCATTATAGAAGCAGTAGTTGCCTATGATGGCATACTTATGCTTTTTTTTTTTAAATAAAAGTAACTAATAAAAAAATAAAACTGAAAAAATAAAAATGAAAACTTCTAAGGTTATTATTGTTCTACATATAACAAAGATCCATATCAAAACTTTTGTTCTTGGTCTTCAGGATACTGAAAAATGAAGCTTCAAAGTTAAGTTTGCCATCATAGGTGCCTTTCCCCTATTAATCTTTTAGAGACTTTTTACATACGTATTAAACAACTTATAAATACTTGAAGGTTAAGTAAGAAAAAAAATTAAAAAATTAAAAAAAAAAATCAAAGTAAACAATATTAACTTTATAATAAATATTTTTTTATATTTATATATTAAAAAATATTTAAAATATTTTTTCAATAAGCTTAAATGTATTTTACTCTAAGCTGCTTAATACACGGGGAGGACGAGGGAAAACGTTTAATAATTTTGCGAAATTTTTCCCACCATTCCTTTGCTTATTAAACCTCCCCTCTGCCCGTTTAATATTTGTTACTTGTTATCAACAAAAAAAATAAAAAAATCTCAAATCTAGAAAAAAAAAGTCACTGATAAGTATAAAAACATTAAGTATAATCAGGCTTAAAAAATGTTTGACCTTTAAAAATCTCGTAATTTAATATTTTATGATTAGTAATTTAATATTTTAAATTTCACGTTGTCAAAAATTAGGTTTTTTTTTATTTCTGACTTTAGTATAAAACTTACTTAAGCATTTATATTTTTATTTTTTATAATTTATATGATTAATTACTTAAGTTATAATGTAAAGCTATTAAAAAACTAGACTATAGTTAAATTGTTTTATTCGTGCTCTGTTCGAAATTCCCACTCTACCTTTTATTATAATCCTTTTATTTAACAGAATTAACATTAACTGGAGTAACATTCCAGCACACCTTTTTTTCACACCCACCACCCCTCTTTATTAAGCACGCGAGAGTACAATTACAAAGTTTACAATGACAAACTTTTCTTTCAAAAAATATTTATGCAAACCAATAAAAACATTAATTCTTAAAGAAGAGTAGATTGAAAAATATTACTTAAGATAAAAGCAGCAAAGATATTTTTTTATACGGTCTGTGTAGTTACGGCGATTTACAAGTTATTCGAAATCTTTTATTTGAAATTAGCATGGATTTGTCAGCATATTATTTCCAAACAAGATCTCTAAATGTTATAATTTTTTTGCTTCAGGTTTTTATAATATTTAAAGAAACTTTTCTATTTTTGTATATAATTTTCAAAACCTTTCTACTACCCGTAATAGTGAATCTAAAGAACACCATTTTAAAGTCTTTAGCTCAATACCGCTCATTGGCGTTAAGATTTAGTTAAAATTTCTTGAAAAAGTTCTTTAATTTACTGTTGATACTAGTTCTAATCGGTTCGGGTTTATAATAACTATATATAGTTGTCAAAACACAATTTTTCTGTCAATATTCACAAAAATACTAGAATTCCGACCAAGACAGAGCTTATAATTAAGAAAAAATGCCAATAAACAATCCTAACAGACTATATTGTTAAACTACAATGTCCATTTCACCTAAAAACGTATTTATTTAAAATCTTATTAATATATGGACAAGTGATTGTGATTTTAATTTGATATTTTTTTTAAAAAAAAGAATTTTTGGTCTAGGCTTTTTCGCTATAAAAATTTATATTTTATGATATGGCAAAACTTATCTTTTTAATTTTTTTCGTCTTTTCATAATTCACAGACCTGATCATTTAACGGAAATATGTCGTAGTCAACAAAATATCTCACAGACGTTGTTACATGTGTTATTAAATAATATTATAAAAGCTATAAAAGTGGAAAACTTGGAAAGTCGAAATTTTCTAATAGCGCGTTTATTGGTTGCTAAAGTCACGTGTAACAACAAATATTTATTTTTAATATTAAGACTTACGAAACTCTTTTTGTTATATATATTTATAAAATAAAATGACAAAAATACTAAAACAAAAAGAGTAAAATGCTCGTTTTAACAAGCCACTAACGTGTGCCTCAAATTTTTTTTTTTGCAAATGTTTTTGTAATTTTTTGCATTTGAAAGTGTATAAAAGCTGTTTTACTTATTTTTTTGCATGGTTGAATTTAACAATATCCATTTAGCTAATAACTTATATTATATTACAATATAACTTATTAGCTTAATGAATATTGTTAAATCCAAACGTTATAATATAAATTATTAATATATTATAATATAATTTATTAACTTAATGGATATTGTTAAATCCGACCATGCAAAGATAAAAATATAGATACATAAATTATTTGTATCTATATTTTTATTTGTGTTTTTTTTTTCTTTTTTTAACATGTCTTTTTGTGTTTATGAAGCATCAATATCTCTTGAATTTGATAAGACAGTGTATTTTTGTTGAATTGGCTAAGCGTTTCTTGTTTCTATTAAATGTTGTGTCAAGTTGGTTTGTCCAATATGTTATCTTTTGTCATAGACTTCATTATTGCTTTTTAATATTGTTTAGAGCTGGAAACATTTCTTTAATTTTAATGCTGCTAAGTCAATCTCTTTTATTAATAAGTCTGTCTTTTCTGTTTGCGGTTCAATATACATCAAGAATAACTCTATTTATGTGGTCTCTGACAGAGAAGACACCAATTATTGGTGATGTCTCCTGTTTTCAGGAAAAGTAATTCAAGGTTTAATCAGGAGAGCTACACTCATTATGGGCAGTACTAGTTTGAAAAATTACTACTTCAAAGCAAAAAAAAAAAAAATCATGTAGTTAACATAAATTCTACGTTGCATGCAAATTTTTTTTTTTGACTAAAATCCTTAAAAATTAAACACACACAAGCGCAAAAACACAAAAATAGCAAAAAATGTAAAACTTTAAGTATTAATATTTATTAGTTAGTATATTTGAGCATTTAGAAATCAAGTTATTATAGAAAAAAGAAAGTACAATTATGCAAGATCTGTTTGCTCTACACTATAAATAAAAAATTACTATATCGGCAATTTAGATTTTTTTTTATTTACAACCTAGTAATATTAGCGAAAGGGAATTTTAAATTTTAATTTCTTCTAGGGATGAGCCATCTTAACTTCCGATAAGTTTTTAATAAGTTTTTCCAATAAGTTTCAAAAATTGCACACTTAGTTTTAATTTTTTTGATTACTATCTGGAAGTTCAACAAGTTTATTTTTCTTTGTCATCCATTTTGTGTGCAGGTGTTTTACGTTAAATTGGGAGCATTTAAAGTATAATTGAAATTTGGAAGATAAGTTTTTAATTTGTTTATAAACTTGAATTAAAAAATTTGAAAGTTTAGTTGTTATTCGTTCAAATATATATTTGTTATTAATTTAATGGCATGAGTTTTACTTCAAACTATAAAATTTCTGTGGTTCATCCTTTATTGTATATTTTGGATTGACTTGAAAAAGGTTACTTTTTCAAAATTGAAAACTTTAAATTAACTGAAATCAACTGAACAAAAATAATTTAATTTTTGTTAATTTTAAAGTTTTCAATATCTAAATCTTTAACTTTACAAACATCAATACATTAATAAATTTATTATAACTAAATAATAAAATAATAAATAAAAAGAAAATTACTAATAAAACTAAAGTATTTTACTTTTTTATAAAGTTTAAACATATTTATTAATAAAATGTTAAAATCAAAAAAGATTTGAATAATTTATTTATTCCCTTATAAATGTGTATAGAGGAAAAAAATATGCGTATGTATGTCATTAGACTTTTGATAATGAAATTTACACACTTATTTTAAAAAATTGATAACATTTAGGGACAGGGTCGGGTAGGAAAATAATCTATTATAAAAAAATGTTGAGTGGTTTATAACAGAAAATATACCTAAATCACATTAGAATCATTTGTGTTTCTTTTATTGTATTTATTACCTTACCAAATGTTTATTAAAACATATATTTATTCAAAAGAGAAATATAATTTACTCAAATAATTTAAATTTATCTGCAATTTAGATGTATGTGATGTTCCAATTGATTTGGTGTTTGCACTTGATGCATCTCAAAGCATAAAGAAAGATGGTTTTAGTAAAATTAAAGAGTTTTCAAAAACAATTATTAATAACTTTAAAATTGATGAATTTCACACTCATGTTGGTGCCTTGGTATTTAGTGAAATCGCAGAAGTTCAGTTTCGACTTGATGAATTATTTGAAAAACAAGATATTTTTGACAGAATTGATAAAATTCCTTATCCTGGGTATCGTACAGCAACTGATGATGCTCTACGTGTTGCAAATAAGTATATGTTTTCACTATCTGGTGGTGCAAGACAAGGGGTGCCACAAGTTTTAATATTAGTAAATGATGGACGATGTACAGTGTGCAGTGAAAATGTTTCATCTGCTTCTGCTCCATTAAAAGAAAAAGGAGTTTCAATATTTTGTGTGGGTATTTCTAAAACTGTTGATAAAAAAGAATTACTTTCAATTGCTTCAGAACCTGCTGAAGACCATTTTTTTTATGTGGAGACAATTGATGAGTTACCCACATTTATTAGCAAACTTCATAAAAAAACTTGTGAAGGTATGTTTACTTTTAAATTAAAAGTTTATGTATATATATATATATATATATATATATATATATATATATATATATATATATATATATATATATATATATATATATATATGTATATATATATATATATATATACATATATACATATATGTGTATGTATGTATATAATAAATGTTATTTTTGCACTGCATAGTATTTATTATTGCTGTATTATCTAAAATTGTTATAAATTTTAAATTTTATATTATTTAGTAAAGAAAGGTAAATGTCCAATATCTTTGCCGCCTTTCAATTGTAAACCAAGAGATGAGGACAATTGTTTTGGTGATAATGATTGCCCTGGAAATGATAAATGTTGTTTTAATGGATGTATTAAACAATGCAAACCTCCTCTTCTAAGTAAGTAAAAAATATTTGACAAAAATTTATAACAAAACACTTGAAAATTAAAATATTTTTTAGTAAATTTAGTTTTTTTAAAATAATTTAGTAAATATAATTTTTTTTTCTTCCAGTATGCTGCCAATGGTTAAAACAGCAACTGGCAAAAAACGGTCTTAAACTTAAAGATCAATTTTTTATCGCAGTTTTAGATCACTTTTAAAAATAAGTAAGTAAAGCAGAAAGCCTTTAAAACAGTAAATTTATTAATCAGAAAACATGGAAACAGAAGAATTCTTAAAAGTTTAAAGGTCTCAGTTCAAGTGTTTCTATCAATATATCAACAATGATTAAATAAATAAAATAAAAATAAATAAAATAAAAACTAAATCCTAATAGTTCAATGAAATAAGGAATAGTGTCCATCAAAGATGATTTTAATACTGAATTTATTAATAAATAATTCAATATTTTTAGGAACTTATCTATATAAAGAATGCTCATAGAGAAGATTTAATGTTAAACTTTATCATAAAGTTTTTGATAAAGTCTAGGTTTACTTAAAATTGGTGAAACAGAAAAAATTTAAAAACTTCCATGTCTGCCTAAATCTAGGAGATTATGTAGAAAATGCAATTTTTAGCAGAGAGACAAAAGATATCAGTCTATGAACCATTACACAGAAAATCACCAAAGAAATTACTGTTAGCCACCGAAGAAAGTACCAAACAATAGTTTTAGTGGGATCATAGTTTAGTTAAAACCACCAAAGAAGAGTAAAGAGATAAAGCTCTGATCAGAGATCAGAGGATCAAGTTTATTTATTATATTGCATGGCTTTACCAATAAGCTATGCACTTATCACAGTCCTGCCAATCAACTCAAATTTATAAAAAAAAATGCTCTTTATGTAGCTTTGCCAATGGACACCAAAAACACAGAGGAACACAACTGGTTCTGTTAATATTTTATTTTAACAGGGTGGATCAAAATGATTTTCTTTTTTTAAAAAAAGGAATAAATTGATGTTCCTTAACGTTGTGGTTCATGAAAGTATAAATATTTTTGATGAATATCAATGTATATTAGAGATGTATCGAGAGAGATTTATTTTAATTTTAATGATTTTTTTATTTATTTATAAATATATAAATATATAATACATAATATTATTATAGCTTATAAGTATTATAATAAGTTTTATAATAGAGCAATAATAATAGCTTTTTTAAAATTAAAGATTTATTTTTTTATTTGCAGATTGTCTAACACCTGTTGATGTAGCTCTTGCTTTTGATTCCTCAAGTAGTGTTGGAGAGTTAGCTTATGAAGAAATGAAAAAATTTGCTCATCAAGTAGTAGATAGCTTTTCTATATCCCAGCAAAATGCTCGGTTTGCTGCTCTTGTTTATGGCAGTAATGCTAGTGTTGAATTTAATTTTGTTCGATATGATTCTGCTCTGGAAATTAAACAGGCTATTCAAAGTTTGTCATACCTAAAATCAAACACTCGTATCGACAAAGCTTTAGAGGTTGCTAAGTCTGATTTGTTCAGTTTGCAAGGCAAAGTTCGTTCTCGCCGACCCATGATCCTATATGTGTTTTTTGATGGTACTGTTACCAGAAGCATGTCAGATCTTGAATCTGTAGTCCAACCTCTCAAAGATTACGGCGTAAAAATTATTGCTATTGGCGTAGGACCTGAAGTTAACCGTTATCAGTTGAAGAAAATTTCTGAAGATAATGCTATATTTTCAGGAAAAAGCTTTAAAGAGCTTGCTCCATTGTTGTATTCTATTGTTGAACAATCTTGCAGTGGTATTTTTTAAATTTTATTTTTATTTTATTTAGTTTAAACAATTTTTTACTGCTTAGTTTAAGTGTTTAACTGTACTTAACTTTAAGTTTTTTAAGTATAAGTTGTTTGGTAGTAGTAACAGAATTAATGTTAAAATTTACAGAAAAGTCTGGTAAATGCAGTGCAGTTGAATCAGAAGACAAAGAACTTTGTGCTGGAGTAATAGATGAATGCAGCAATGATTTTGATTGTTTTGGAGAGGCCAAATGTTGTAAAAAAGGATGCAAAAAAAGCTGCATTCCTAAAGCTGGAGGTATTATATATTGTTTTAATTGTTTGGTTAAGTTTTTGGCACCTTATTTGATTGTTAGTATGTTTCTTATCTTCAAAGTTTCTATTCTATTTATCACTATTTATAATAATCCTAATGCATCCTCAATGGAAGCATTTACATGTGTATGTATGTATGTATGTATGTATGTATGTATGTATGTATGTATGTATGTATGTATGTATGTATGTATGTATGTATGTATGTATGTATGTATGTATGTATGTATGTATATATATATATTTATATGTATATACATAAATATATATATATATATATATATATATATATATATATATATATATATATATATATATATATATATATATATATATATATATATATATATATATATATATATATATATACATACATACATTTATATGTATATATGAGTAAATACACACCTAAATAAAATATATCTTAAAATAAATATTAATCCCAACTTCAAATTTTTAACTTTAAATAGTTTGTCCACGCAAAGTTGATGTTGCATTTGCGCTTCATTTAAACATGGATGCAGATGATTTTGACATAGCACAGTTTTTCCTTAAATCTGCTATAGATAGATTTAAAATTAGTACTAATGGTGCTCATGCTGCTCTATTAACATTTGGACAAGAAACGGATGTCATTTTTGACTTTAAATCTGGGCAGACTTCTAATGATGATTTAAAATCCTTAATTGGTAATATAAAATTTACAAGAGGGAAAGGCAATTTAGAAGATGTTTTGGCAAAAATGTGTGATGCTATTTTTTGTGTAGCAGGTGGAACAAGAGATGCTGTCCCTAAGGTATAAAGCAATTATGAAAATTTACATATATATCATAAAATTTTTATCTGGTATATTAGTATTTATCATGTTCAACTGGATGTGTTTATGTTGTCGCACCACAATGAACGCTTATATGAAAGCACAATATTTTTTATAAGTTTTTTTTTTAATTAAAATTTTTAAAAAGCATTTTTTTTTTTTAACTTTAAAGTTTCGAAATGCCACAGGTTGTTAACAAAGTATAACAAAAAAAAATTTTGTTTTTATATATGCATTGTATTTATAAAAAAAAAGTTATTTTGTATACACAAAACATCCTCATGTAATATAAGTACCTAGTACCTAATACCTAGTAATGTAAGACAAAAAAAAAATGATAGGCTGTACAAATAAGTTAAAAATAAAATCTTTTTGTGTAAATGCTAAACCATGTTTGGTTTGAGCAGGATTTCTATTACTTATGTTGCTATGATATTAAGAAAGAGTTCAAGCAATTTTTGGCTGCAAACTGGTTATGAAAACATTTTATTTAATTATCATGAATGTTTTTTTTAAAGACTTATATTTTTTTAATAGTTACTTTACTTGATTGTTGGTGAAACTGCTTCAGGTGATCCTATCGAGTTAGAAAATCGTATTCAAACATTGCGGTCTCGTGGTGTTGATGTTATTGTTTTGGCAGTTGGAGACAATCTTAATCTCCCATTACTACAATCTCTTACTAGTACTGAACCATTTTCTGAAAGTCGTGTTTGGTTATCCAGAGAATATATTGACACTATGCAATACCTCCAAGATATTGCAGACTTTGCTTGTGGTGAAGGTAAATAATCTTTTATTAAAAGTAAATAATCCTTCCCAGCATTTCCCACCCTAATTCTTTTATTTAACATACAATTTTAGTATAGATGATAAAAATGTTTCCTTTAAAATTTTTAAGCTGGTGAACTACCTCCAGTTGGGCCTCTAGTCGAAAAGGTAACTTAATACTTCAAAAAAAACCTTATCAATGTTTTCACAATTTAATGAATTAAAACCTTTTGTATAGTTTATTAAAGTTTTAAACTTTTTTTAAATTTTTTTACTAGACTTGTGGTGGGAGCACACCAAATGTTTGCTATAGAGGACCTAAAGGATCAAGGGTGAATATTTGTTTCTGATATATGGAGGGACCCAAACAACAACAACAAAAAAAAACTATAATAATAGTTTATCTTAAGTTATTTATATTTTGATATACTTTTTTACTGTAATGACTTACTTTCAAAACAATAATTTTTAAAGGGTCGACCAGGACCAGTCGGACAACGCGGAGAACCAGGAGTAGAGGTTTGTTTATTTTGAATTGATTAAAGTTTCTTATTAGTTGGTTTTTATATATTTTATGGTGCTATAAAAAGAAAAAAATATTTCTAGGGAATTACTGGTCCAAAAGGAATTGATGGTCCGAAAGGTATTAAGGGTGAAGATGGAGTTTTAGGACCAAAAGGGAATCGAGGAGAAACTGTATGCATTTTATCGTTTTGTGTGAAACTATTAAGTTATGTGTTTTAATATTTTGCATAATATAATAAACAGACCTGAATCTGTATATTTTGTTTTGAAAATCTCAAATACCTTTTTTGTTTTGTAAATATAAGTTCTTCATACAAAAAATATTTGTTTATTTAAAAATATTTTATCAATGGTTTTTTAAATTAATTTTTGTTTATTTTAGGGTTTACCTGGTTTGCCAGGTTTTCCTGGTTATGATGGAATTCCGGTAAGAAAAATATTACATCAACTGCATTTTTCTTTATCTTTTTCTTCTAATCTTTTATGATAATGTTATAGTACATTTATTTAACATAATATACATGGTTGTTATTAATCATTTATACTTTTTTTCTTACATCATTGCTTGCATCATTTTTAAGCAATTTTTAAGCGTGTTTCATTGTTGTTTTATACATTAGATTTTTTATCACAACCATCACGATTATGATCGTCATTAAAAAAACATAAAAATGTTTATAAAACTTCAAGTAAAAACTATGAAACGCAGCATATGATAACATCAATATGTGCTAAATACACACACCAAATGATTTTTTTTTATCACATTAAGTCTGACAAAGTTGTTTTGTTTGGAATAAGTAAAAAGTAAGCGTTATGACTGTCACACCTTAAAAAAAAGTTTATAAAAAAAGTTTTTGACTTGTAACTGTTACTTTCTAAATTATATGATATGTATATATATATATATATATATATATATATGTATATATATATATATATATATATATATATATACATATATATATATATATATATATATATATATATATATATATATATATATATATATATATATATATATATATATATATATACATATATATATATATATATATATATATATATATATATATATATATATATATATATATATATATATATATATATATACATTCACATATATATATATATATATATATATATATATATATATATATATATACATATATATATATATATATATATATACACACCAACAATGTGTGTATATATATAAATATATATATATATATATATATATAAATATATATATATTTATATATATATATATATATATATATATATATATATATATACACATATACACATATATATATATATATATATATATACATATACACACCAACAATGTATATATATATATATATATATATTTTATATATATATATATATATATATATATATATATATACATACACATATACATATATATATATACATATACACACCAACAATGTGTATATATATACATATATATATATATATATATATATATATATATATATATATATATATATATATATATATATATATATACACACCAATAATGTGTGTTTATATATAAATATATATATATATATATATAAATATATATATATATATATATATATTTATATATATATATATATATATATATATATATATATATATGTATATATATATATATATATATATATATATATATATATATATATATATATATATATATATATATATATATATATATATATATATATATATATATATATATATATATATATATATATATATATATATATATATATATATATATACTCTTTTCAACTTTCTAATTCAATTTCTAAATAAATATGGGTATTCCCAAATATTTGTGTTAACATAAGAATTTTTAAAAGTGAATGGGTTGGTTCTAAACTTTTTGAAAAGAAGATATGAAATTGAACTATGTATTTTAAGGGAGTTCCTGGCATAGAAGGAAGAATGGGAGAATATGGTGATTGTGGTTTACCTGGAACACCTGTAAGTCATCTAACATTATATAACGTTATAATTACTATCATTATTCTAGCATTACTTACTTTATCAACTTTTAAATTACCTTTGCTTAGTTATAACTCACATAATACATAACAATTATTCTAGTATTATTGATAACCTTATTAGCTATTTAATTACTTTTTTTAAACCATAACTTAATATTATATAGTTATTTTTCTAGTGTTATTGCTAACTTTATTAAATTTAAATTACCTTTTTGGAATTGTAAAGCACATAATGCATATTTTTTATTCATATAAGTTTTTATATGATGTTCTAGGGAGAGGTTGGACCACCTGGATTAGATGGTTTTAATGGTTCACCTGGGAGACAAGGTCCTGCTGGAGAAAAAGGAAAAAAGGTTGTTTATTTAAGATGATGAAATATAAAATTGAGAATTTAAGTTAAAACAAATTTTAAAATATAAATTTTTTTCTAAAAATAGAGGAACTAATATCAAAAAACTTTTTACTAAAACCTTTTTTTTTTTAGGGTCCTGATGCTCCTTTTGATCCTAATTTGAAAATTTTCCCTGGAGATAAAGTAAGTTTTACAATTTTTTTTTTGCCATAGTTTGAGTTCTTTGAATTAGCTATGTTGCACATACATTTATTTTCATTCTGAACATTTGTTTTTTGTATTTCTATAAATAATTAAATAATATATAAAAGTGTTGAAAAATTTGCATGTCTATTATTATTCAAATTGTTTAGTGTGGTTACTAACACTTATATTTAATGCAGTTATTAATGATTAATTAACTTTAGTTATTAATTGTTCTAATCTATAACTGAAAATAAAAACTGCCCTAGTTCCATGTTTTTTTTTTTTTTTTTAGGGAAGTCAAGGTGAAGCAGGTCCTGTTGGATTTAAGGTAGTACTTTAAAAAATTAAATTAAGATTGTTTTAGGGTAGTTTAAGAATGTAAATTTAACATGTTTTTTTTTAAAGGGAATGCGTGGAATTGATGGACCAAAGGGAGACATGGTTTGCTTGAATTTTCATTTGTTTTTAAACTAATACTATTCAAATATATGTATAAATATATATATATATATATATATATATATATATATATATATATATATATATATATATATATATATATATATAAATAAATTTATTAACACTGTTTAGGGAGATAACGGTGTAGATGGTGCTCAAGGATTAAAAGGAGAAGAAGGAGAAATAGGAGAAACGGTTTGTTTTTAAAATTTACATTGAATTTGCTCAATAAAAACTAATTGTGCGCACTTTAAAAGTATTTTGATGCTCAATAACAATAACAGCAGTGAAAATCTTCTTGCGATAAATCTATACTAGTTTTGTTAGATACTGGTTAGAGTTATAGTTTTGTTATATATAATTATATATATAAGTTATATATTGTTATATAAAATTATTATTTGATAAATCTATTAAATAGTAAATTTGAAAAGCTGATTGGTGCTTTATTTATAATATTGTAAATTGTATTGTATATTGTATAATATTTTGTATACTGTATACTTTTAATATTGAATATTAATAATTTAGGGTAATTTCATAAATGTGAAAGGACAGAAAGGTTACAGGGTAAGTAGATTTATTGAATATTTTATATACATATATATATATATATATATATATATATATATATATATATATATATATATATATATATATATATATATATATATATATATATAT